GTCGCATAAATCTACAACCATAGCTCCAAAGCAACGCCCCCACGGACTCCTGTGGTACCAACTTACGAATATTTTCCACTCGCCTCTTCAAGCGAAATGAAAGGTACGAGGAAGTGATTCCCAAACTGTGCGCCGCGAAATATTGTAAAAGCTTCAATTTGAGAAAATGTGCAGTGATTTGACGGCTCATCCATCACATTAATTAGTAAATATTAATTTAATGTTAATAAAGTAAAAATAATGAATATACACGAGTTTTATTTATTTTTATTTCTTACCTACAAATAGTCAATCTTAGGGTAGGACGCCCCGGAAAAATTTAAATTTAAAAAGGGCGCCGCGACTAGGAACAGTTTGGGAACAACTGTATGAAGGGATTCTTCGAAGCCTAGTTTTCCCGCAACAATTATTACAGCTTGTTTGACCTTAGCAAGAAGACCTACAGGAACACACCTTGTCCGAAATCCACAGTAGGCATGACGATGTCCAAAGAAAATTTGGGTTTCGAGGAATCTATTGTATCATAATTGTTGAGCTTACTTCAATTTCGAGTGAAAATGTTGGGGCGAAGAGATTCGAAGGTCGGTTCCAACAGAAGACGACGGCGGATTCCTCTTGACCAGCTGTCGATTGGCTTTACTGGAACATTCATGCTGACAGTGTTTCCGAGGCAATCTCACTCGATTCCGGTGAAAAGGTGCTAACCTTTCGTCCAACACATGACCAACAACATTGTCTGAGCACGTTATCATCGTCACAACAAAATTGAAGCTAACGAGTCAAGAAAACTTACCAGCAAATCCCTAAAAAGTGGTATATATACTCTACATCTGACCTCTGATCAAGTCTAACTAACCAAATCACTTTAGACGTAACCAAAGAGGCCAGATGTAGCGTATATATACCACTTTTTAGGGATTTGCGGGTGAGTTTTATTGACTCGTTAGCTAGAATTTGTTTGTGACGATGATACCCTTGATGATCTCATGATGTCCGTCATATGACGGACAAAAGCTTAGCACCTTCTCACCAGAATCGAAGAAGATTACCCCCGAAACAGCGTCAGCATGAATCTTCCAGTAAAGCCAATCGACAGCTGGTCAAGGGGAATCCGCCGTTATCTTCTGGTGGAACCGACCTTTGGATCTCTTCACCCAACACTTTTATCCGAAATGGAAGTAAGCTCAACAAACTTGTAACTGTCATTAAAATTGGCGTCACTGCTTATTTCCGACATGAATGGATGCAAGTAATTCTTGAATAAGAACATGATCAATCTGAAAGGCCTAAGCTGATATTATTTCGAAATCCCACTTTCCTTCCAGATCAGTTCTTATTTCGCCTTCAGCGATCTAGACTGACTAAGCTTGAAATAAATAATTACCGATTGTCTCGAAAGCTACTCATTTCGAGGGTAAGTAACATCGTAGATTGCAATGGCAAAATCATATTTGCTTAATCAAAAACCCCCAATTAACAAGTTATAGCGGTTGTCGAAACTATCACTAATTCTTTAATGGCGACTCGGTCATTTTTTGCAAGGTCTATTCACATATCTGTAGGAAGGGTCGACTAGCTGTACTTAAAACATCTCAAGCGGCTTGAGACCACTAATTTGTAATTCAAAATTACTGATTGTCTCGATGACTACTTATATGCAAAATAAGTAAGCACATCGAGTGTATTGAATTCACGAAGAGTTCCGATGGGTCTTGGTCATTTCGGACAGATCTAGGCCGGACCGAGGTACATTACAGTCCTGCCCTCCGGCATCGTTTACGGTCTGCTCCTATTTCCCCCTCATTTGGGCCGAGAGAGAATTGGCAAGAAATACCAGCCCATTGCTCGATTGGCACGAAGAGAAACTGGGTCTTCCTGACTCCCTTGATGAGTTAGCCTGACTCTAATTTGCGTTGTCATAGCAACATTGGTAGAAAGGAGTTCATTAATTGGTTGTTCGAGTGTACGAAAAAGGTCGTCTAAGCACTGTCTTAATGATGCGAATACTTTCGTGATGAGCTTTTGCATATCCGAGAAATGATGATTCGCCAGAAAGACAACAAATAATAGCCCTTCTTTGCTTATTCTGTTTTGCGTGGAGTTTTTCATAATAAACAATTCCCCGAAAACTCATCACGGATTCACCAAAATTGCTGCCCATTGAGCCAGCAACTGCTTCGGCCTCAATTACAAGATGGGCCAATTCACGACTGTCCTCCACTGGGCCAGGATGAATCAACTGCCGGGCCTTGAACTCCGTCTTGATGGCGCTAAGACAACTGTTGAAGCAAGCTTCAGGCTTTGCCTTCAAAAGTGTGTTGTCGAGTGGTCGATGAGCTCGTGTCTGGACCATCACACGTCCAAGGTTCGAATCCCACCGCGGCTGCTGACGAGCTGATGGGACAGGCTGGAATTGGAGGTCCAGCTGACAATCGAGGCTGGAGATGAGAGCCGCCTCTTGCGGCGAATGACGCAATGAGGCTTGACGCCAGTCGAAAGTAGTTCGCCTTAACAACAGTCACTAGATGCAAAAAATATGAAGGGAGGGTTTCGAAGATTATCCTAATTATCTCAGTTAATTAGACTTTTCATATCGAAGCGAGGTCTGGCCAGAATAAACGAGTTCCATACATGCAAACAAACAAACTAACAAACAAACAAACAAACAAACA